GTCAGTCCCCTTCTACCGTCTCTTCCCCTACCGCACTCCTTCCCTCCCCCCTCCCCCGGACTTCCTTGTGCCGGTTCCCCCCCCGGTAGACCCCCTCCCCCCTCAGGTTCCTGCCCCCTCAGGTGTGTCCCAGGTAGACGCCGTTGACCCGGTCGAGGTTACTGGTGACTCTGGTGCTGCTGCGGGTGCTGAGCCTGGGGGTGCTGACTCTGGGGGTGCTGTGCGTGGGGGTGCTGAGCCTGGGGGTGCTACTGCTGGGGGTGCTGGGCCTGAGGGTACTCCTGCGGAGGGTGCGGAGCCTGGGGGTGCTGAGCCGGGGGGTGCTGTGCCTGGAGGTGCTGGGTCTGGGGGTGCTGGGTCGGGAGCTGCTGAGCCTGGGGGTGCTGAGCTGGGAGCTGCTGGGCCTGGGGGTGCTGCGTCTGGAGCTGCTGAGCCTGGGGTTTCTCCTGCTGCTGCGTCTCGCCGGGAGCCCCTCTCTCCACAGGAGCTGCGCGAGTGGTTCGCTCGCCGCTGGAGGCGTGCTGCTGAGTCTGGAGGTGCTGCTGGAGCTGGAGCTGGAGCTTCTTCGACCGTCGAGGGTGCGGGTGCTGCCGGTCCCGGAGCTGCTGGACCTGCGGGTCCTCCCGGAGCTGGAGCTGCTGCGGGCGCTGGTGCTGAGCCTACTTCTGTTGGTCCTGCCGCTGGAGGTGTGGGTGGCGCTGGTGCTGTCGCTGAGGGTGCTGGTGCTGTCCCTGCTGCGTCTGGAGCTGCAGCGCGGCCTCGGCCGTACTTCGTTCCGCTCCTGCAGCAGGTTCTTGGTCTTTCTCCTCCAGTAGAGGGTCCACCGCCTGTCCAGTTGCAGTCCCTGCTGGAGCCTTCCTCTCCACTGCCTGCTCCCTCTCCTTACACTGGTCCTACTGGAGGTCTTGCTGAGCGTCGTGAGCCTGCGTCTCGTCCCGCGTCGCCTGTTCGCACTGCTCGCGCTAGTGGTCGCAGTTCGCGTCAGCGTCCTCCTCCTGTCCCTGGCACGCACCGGATGTCTTTGCGTCCGTCCACTGCTCCTCTGCGTGCCCCTTTGCCTTCTCCTCCTGAGTCTTCTCTTCCTGCGCTTGCCGACCCTGGGTCGGACTCTCTTCGTGCTGCCAGTCCTACTGTCACGCGTCTGCTTGCTACTGTCGTCACTGACCCCTCTTTTGATTCCACTGCTGCGTCTGCGCTAGTCGATGAGCTCGTCGACTTTGCTGCTCGCTGTCGTCTCGACTACGCTGCTGGTCTTGTTGCTGAGTCTGCGTCTGTCTGTCCTCCGTCCGTCGGGGGTGAGTGTGCTCTTGGCACGGACGTCCTAGAGGACAGGCAGGAGGAGTTACAGTGTCTAGCGACTGCTTCACCTCATCTCGCGTCTGTACTGCTTGCCCCTGAGGGAGACCCGGATGCACTAGACATCCCGACTCCGCGTTCTTACGCGGAGGCCGTAGAGGGTCCCTACTCCTCTCAGTGGCAGGCAGCTATGGATGCCGAGATGGCTTCCTGGAAGTCCACAGGCACCTACGTTGACGCGGTTCCCCCTCCTGGGGCGAACATCGTCAGTGGCATGTGGATCTTCAGGGTGAAGCGGCCGCCGGGCTCTCCACCTGTCTTCAAGGCACGGTACGTTGCTCGTGGCTTCAGTCAGCGGCAGGGAGTTGACTACTTTCAGACCTTCTCTCCCACCCCGAAGATGACTACTCTTCGGGTGCTGCTGCACATAGCCGCTCAGCGCGACTACGAGCTTCACTCTCTCGACTTCAGCACTGCGTTCTTGCAGGGTAGCCTGCACGAGGAGATCTGGCTTCGCCGTCCACCTGGCTTCACTGGGACTTCCCCTCCTGGCACCCAGTGGAGCCTCCGACGGCCAGTCTACGGTCTCCGCCAGGCACCGCGTGAGTGGCACGACACACTGAGGACCACACTTGCGGCTCTTGGGTTTGCTCCTTCTACTGCTGACCCGTCGCTGTTTCTTCGCACCGACACTTCCCTGCCGCCGTTTTACATCCTCGTGTACGTCGACGACTTGGTCTTTGCCACAGCGGACACTGCTGGACTCGCCTACGTGAAGTCCGAGCTGCTGAAGAGACACACGTGCACAGACCTGGGTGAACTGCGCAGCTACCTTGGCTTGCAGATCACTCGGGACAGAGCACGCCGCACCATTACCTTGACTCAGTCACACATGGTGCAGCAGGTCCTTCAGCGCTTCGGCTTCACGTACTCCTCGCCTCAGGCCACTCCTCTGCCTACTCGCCACTCACTCTCAGCTCTGCCTTCGGATGAGTCCGTAGAGTCGAGTGGTCCGTATGCAGAGCTTGTTGGCTGCCTCATGTACCTGATGACCTGCACACGACCTGACCTTGCATACCCTCTGAGCATTCTTGCACGCTATGTTGCTCCTGGAAGACACAGACCGGAGCACATGGCTGCAGCAAAGAGGGTATTGCGCTATCTGTGCAGTACGTCGGGCATGGGGCTAGTGCTTGGAGGGCAGAGTCCAGTGGTCCTTACCGGCCACGCGGACGCTTCTTGGGCTGACGACCAGGCTACGCAGCGGTCGTCACAGGGTTACACCTTCAGCCTTGGTTCCGGCTCTGTCTCGTGGCGGTCTACTCGCTCGTCTTCGGTTCTCGGCTCCAGTTGTGAGGCTGAGATCTACGCCGGGGCCATGGCTGCACAGGAGCTTCGCTGGCTCACCTACCTGCTGACTGACCTTGGAGAGCCGCCTCGTTCTCCTCCAGTGCTGTACGTAGACAACAAGGCCATGCTGGCCTTGTGTCGAGAGCAGCGCTTGGAGCACAGAACGAAGCACATTGCTCTCCGCTACTTCCTTGCTCGTGAGCTGCAGCAGCGTGGTCAGTTGCGACTTGCGTACGTGGCCTCTGAGGCCAACAGTGCTGATGTGTTCACCAAGGCACTCGCGCCTTGTGACCATCAGCGCTTTTGCACCCAGCTGGGTCTTGTGCCAGTCTTGCCTCACTTGCTCTCCTCTTGACTTCACTTGTACTGTGACATATATATATACCTGCTCTTGCTTGTCTAGTTCTATATATATATGTCTGTACTCCTGCATGTGAACTGGCCTCTGGCCCTGCTCTTGTGCTCGGACTGTGTGGTGACGTTGTGATCCACCCTGAGCTTGCTCTGCTTTGCTTTACCTGACTGGTCTTGTGACCCCTTGTTCTCCCCCACTTTGCCTATGGGGGTGTGTCAGATTTATATGACATAGTTTCTGTAGGCTATAGTGGGGTAGCACATATGGGGTACAGGGTTTCTAGGGTTGTATTTGTACCCAATCTTCCATAGTCATTTCATTCCTGTTTTCCTTGCTTCACAGCAAATACATATATCGTGCCGCACCGTGAAGAACGAATATCCAAGAATGGATGGCTGTCGATAACGCATCTACGCTTGTGCGTTGGGCCTGCGCTTCATACCACTCCTTCTAAGCACCTTGTGTAATGTCTGTGCAAGAATGGATGACAATCCAACACCATACCACAACGGATTCACCAAGTCGCGCAATGCGGAGGCCTGAACGGTGCATCGTCGCATAGTCTAAACATGGCTGACGATAACGCATCTACGCTTGTGCGTTGGGCCTGCGCTTCATACCACTCCTTCTAAGCACCTTGTGTAATGTCTGTGCAAGAATGGATGACAATCCAACACCATACCACAACGGATTCACCAAGTCGCGCAACGCGGAGGCCTGAACGATGCATCGTCGCACAGTCTAAACATGACTGTCGATAACGCATCTACGCTTGTGCGTTGGGCCTGTGCTTCATACCACTCCTTCTAAGCACCTTGTGTAATGTCTGTGCAAGAATGGATGACAATCCAACACCATACCACAACGGATTCACGTTTGTTATTATTGATAATCGTGTTAGAATGACGTCCGCTGGCCCTAAACCATTGTGGCAAAGCCTAAAAGTGCGCAGTACATCTTTCCTAAGTAATAATTCAAGACGGTCGTTGTGTGTGTGACGTGAGAATCACTGATTAACTTACCCCAACCCCGTACAAAACCAGTTGCAACTTAGAGTTTGATGAAATGCGTTGTTACTTTGCAACCGAAAACACTGTACTTTGCAGGGATTTGACTAATTTCGCACTGTAGGTGTCACACCAGGTTTACCCTTTGTTGTGATTGATGTGTTGGCAACCGTCATTGGCCGACGCATCTCAAACGATTCCCCCCGCAACACAGTCATCAGCCAAGAGGTACTTCAGCCATTGGGCGGCTGAGATCGAGCGGAAGGTGGGTTTATGCTAGGGTGGCTACACGTACACCGTCCAATGTAGCCTGATAGGGTTACATTTCTCTCTCTAGTCTCGCAACTCACCCCAACCACCCTCGTGCCCCACCCACCTGCTTCTGTCACTCCCTGGGCCAACACTTTGACGCTGCTCGTTGCCTTGACACACGCCTCTCCAGATCGGCCTTAGCGCGAAGCATAGTGGCTACTATTTCAGACTTAGTTGAAGCGGCTGTTTTCGTAAACACATAACAGTGATAGACGGCCGATTATGCCTTCGTGGGATTCAGTAGCAAAACCCTTTCGAAACCGGCTCAACCCTTCCGCGCGATTTGCAACTTTGCTCTTCCTACGATTACCATGACACGTGCAACAAGTAACCAAGCAATGGAGGAGGAACAGGCCGGCCGCCGCGCGACAAGGGGGACGTCTAAACAAATCGATAGGGAGAGTGGTGGCGGCGCTAAAAAAAACAATGCGTCCGTCGCTCGTGGCATCGGGCCGAAAAAAGCGGCGGCAAAAAAGGTCGCGCGCGGTCAACAGGAGGCCGGCAAGAAAGCGGCAGACAAGGGGCCTAAACCAACGCCACGCAAGCATGTTTCTACAGTGAACAAAGCTGCAGATGGTGCCTCTGCTGGAACCGAGCCCGGTCCGAGTAAAGACGGCACCACTGGCGGCAACGAAGATCCGGGGCGAGGGAGCGCGAGTCTTGCACTCCCGTCGGCGGAGATGGAGGGTTCGGCGACAGGGGGAAATCACGGAGGCGATCCTCGCGCCGAGCATGCCGCAACCAAGGAGTCCGAGGAGGCGGCAACGCAACACCATCTGACGCTGCTCCAGCCGAGCGTGGTCGAAGTTTCTGCAGCCGTGCTGGATAAGGACAAGGTGGCACAGCACGAGTCGGTGGGGCTGGTCGGTGGCTCTCCTCCTTCTGGTGGACGGGGAAGGCGTAGGCAAAGGAAGAGCGATGGGGAGGAGGATGATGACACCGCCGTGCCCGGGGACCTCACCACACGGGCGAAGAGGCGCCAGACGACAGGTAGTGCTGACAACGCCGGAGGCGCGGAAGTTGACACACCGCGAGGCGCCAAGGAAGCTAGTGGCAAGGCGGGCGGTCAAGCATTGCGCCAGAAGGGCCGCCCCGCAGCAAGAAAAGCATCTGGCGGAAGGAGAGGCAAGAAAGCAGCGACAGGAACGAGGCCGAAACGGGGCGATGAAGACCCCGGTGATACGGAGGAGGAGGAGGATGAGGAGGAGGATGCGGAGGGAGAGGAGGATGAAGAGGAAGCGGAGGAGCAAGACGCGGATGTTGGGGAGGATGCTAAAGATGAGAATGATGGCGGGGAGGACGAAGAGGAGGAGGAGGAGGAGGAGGAGGAGGAGGAGGAGGAGGAGGAGGAGGAGGAGGAGGAGGAGGAGGGGGATGAGGAGGAGGAGCAGGGTGACGAGGAGGAGGAGGAGGAGGAGGAGGAGGAGGAGGAGGAGGAGGAGGAGGAGGAGGAGGCATCAGAGAAGGAGGAGGAGGAGGAGGAGGAGGAGGAGGAGGAGGAGGAGGAGGAGGAGGAGGAGGATGTGGCGCCAGGGAAGAGACGGGGCGGGCGTGGCGGTCGGGTGAGTGGGACAGGGAAAGAGGGGGGCCGGACTCGCCCTTCCCGAAAACGCGGGGCAGGTGACGCTGCGCGCGGCGAAGCAGCGGGCAAACCGAAGGCGCGTAAGGTGAAGGTCGAAAGTGAAGGGGTTGGTTAAAAGCAAGGGAGCCAGGGTGCAAAAGGGGATGGAGGAGGAAAGGGTGGCCGCGCCAAAGGGGTTCGAGTGGGTACCGGCAAGAAGGAACCTGCCGGTAAACGTCGCAGCGTGCGCCAAAGCACCCCGCGGAAAGGTGGCAACGAGAAGGTGCAGGCTGCCCCAAAACCGAAGGGACAACAGAAAGGTGAGCATTGTGTCCAATACAACTGGCGTGACGTGTTAAACAATCTGCTAAACCGTCCCAAATAACACCCTTTATTCACATTGTTTCTCTCCTGCAGGGAAGGAGAAGGTTGACGAATCTGCCAAGCAAGGTAAACCCTCTTGTCTCAAACCAGTACAACCCTAAACCCGATCTAGATTCAAACCTTTCTGAATATGCATGCATGTCTGGCCCCGCCTTGAAACCGATCGACTCCAATTTTTATTTTCCCACTCCCTCTACATCTCAGCCCCTCGCGTAACAGGCATTGGGCCGCCCTTAAGCGTGCAACGAATGCATCTAACGAAGGCTGCCGGAATAGCGAGTGTTACACCGCTCTCGTCCGGCGCACCAAGGTTCTACACGCCATGGGCCGGCCCCAGCAAAGTCGCTGCGACGGCACCCGGCGCGCCAAGAGGAGAGGAATCCGAATCCCCTCCACCCGTCCCCGTCACGCACTCCTCACTCGCCTCACCCTCGTACCCATTTTGGCAACTCCACGCTTCTCCTGTCCGGGGCAGGGCGGTCTCCCCCATCGCCGGTCCTTCGCGCGGGCATCAGGCAGGCACTTATGCCAATCCCTTCCCTGAGCTCCCCTTTTCCCGCCAGCGTGATAGTGTGAGGGCACACGGGACTGCTGCAGAAGACGTTGATACCCTTGGCCAGAGGGGGGATTCTTCACACCCTTTTCCTCCGCTCATGGGTGCCCTAGGTGAAAGTGAGGAGCACGAGCAGTTTGTTACACGGGAGGAGTTCCAGGCGCTGCGGTCTGAGATGTACGCCATGTTTGCACAGCTCGGCCTGCGTCGTGGAGTACCTGCCAGCTATGCCGGCGGGTCGGCAGCCCTGCCTATGGCTGGTACCCCGCCGCCGATGAGCGCCGTGGACAAGGCACGAGTGCTAGTGTTGCAGGAGACAAACCCATTCCCGGTATGTGGCGGGCCAAATGGGGCGGGCCAAATGGGGCGGGTTGGGGTTGACGTGGCAACAAGGTCGGGGTTGGGGCTGACGTGGCGGGTTCGAAGGGAACACGGGAGCGGCGCGTGACGAGGCGACGCGTATCAGGTGGGTGGGGGGTGACGTGGCATGGGGTGGGTGGGTGTGACGTAGCAAGTGGGGCGGGTTGTTGGTGAACGTGGCGGATGCAAGTGCGTGTGACATGGCAAAAGGTGAGGGTTGGGATATGACGTGGCGGTGTGAAAGGGTGCAAGGGAGTGCCGCATGACGGAGCGAGGCGTTTCAGGTGGGTGGGGGGTGACGTGGCTCTTGGTGGGGGGTGTGACGTGGCTCTTGGTGGGGGGTGTGACGTGGCAAGTAGGGCGGGTTGTTGGCAGATGCAAAAGGGTGTGGCGTGGCAGAATGGGAGGGTTGGGGCTGTCGTGGTGGTTTGGAATGGTACACAGGAGCCGCGCGTAACGAGGCGACGCGTGAGAGGTGGGTGGGGGGTGACGTGGCATGGGGTGGGAGGGTGTGACGTGGCACGTGGGGCTGGTTGTTGGTGGACGTGGCGGATGCAGGAGGGTGTGACGTGGCACGTGGGGCTGGTTGTTGGTGGACGTGGCAGATGCAGGAGGGTGTGACGAGGCGGAAGGTGAGGGTTGGGGAAGACGTGGCGGATGCAGGTGGGTGTGACGTGGGGGAAGGTGAGGGTTGGGGATGACGTGGCACCCTACAAGGGTACACGTGAGCGGCGCATGACAAAGCGAGGCGTTTCAGGTGGGTGGGGGGTGACGTCGCTCTTGGTGGGGGTGTGACGTGGCAAGTAGGGCGGGTTGTTGGCGGATGCAAAAGGGTGTGGCGTGGCGGCATGTGAGGGTTGGGCCTGACGTGGCGGTTTGGAATGGTACACAGGAGCGGCCACTGACGAGGCGACGCGTGTCAGGTGGGTGGGGGGGTGACGTGGCATGGGATGGGAGGGTGTGACGTGGCACGTGGGGCTGGTTGTTGGTAGACGTGGCGGATGCAGGAGGGTGTGCCGTGGCACGTGGGGCTGGTTGGTGGACGTGGCGGATGCAGGAGGGTGTGACGTGGCGGAAGGTGAGGGTTGGGGATGACGTGGCGGATGCAGGTGGGTGTGACGTGGGGGAAGGTGAGGGTTGGGGATGACGTGGCACCCTACAAGGGTACACGTGAGCGGCGCATGACGAAGCGAGGCGTTTCAGGTGGGTGGGGGGTGACGTCGCTCTTGGTGGGGGTGTGACGTGGCAAGTAGGGCGGGTAGTTGGCGGATGCAAAAGGGTGTGACGTGGCAGCATGTGAGGGTTGGGGCTGACGTGGCGGTTTGGAATGGTACACAGGAGCGGCCACTGACGAGGCGACGCGTGTCAGGTGGGTGGGGGGGTGACGTGGCATGGGATGGGAGAGTGTGACGTGGCACGTGGGGCTGGTTGTTGGTGGACGTGGCGGATGCAGGAGGGTGTGATGTGGCACGTGGGGCTGGTTGGTGGACGTGGCGGATGCAGGAGGGTCTGACGTGGCGGAAGGTGAGGGTTGGGGATGACGTGGCGGATGCAGGTGGGTGTGACGTGGCAGCATGTGAGGGTTGGGGATGACGTGGCGGTTAGAAAAGGTACACGTGACAACTGCGCATGACGAAGCGAGGCGTGTCAGGTGGGTGGGGGGTGACGTGGCTTGTGGTAGGGAGGTGTGACGTGGCAGAATGGGCCGGGTTGTTGGTGGACGTGTCGGATGGCGCAGGGTGTGACGTGGCAAGTTCACACAGTGTTGCTAGTCACAATCCCATGGTCACGCGGCCACCCACATAACTGCTGGTTTCTCTCTCCCATGTCGTGTTGTATACCTTACACCACTGCGCAGAACAAAGCCTACTTAGTGTGCTCTCAGCTCATGTTTCTGAACCCGCCGGAGAAAATACAGTACTACCCTGCACCGGAGGAAGTGTTCGAAGCGTTCTCTGTCCACTTGTCCGCAGAAGGGCTCGAGGCAATGAAGCTGCTGTGGTTGCACAATGACAAGTCAACCATGGGAGTCTTCAACCACCAGCTGTCCTCAACAAGGTCAACTATCAACTCCACCCTCAGGCCAGCAACATACACCGGCATGGGCCTTGCTGATTACAGCCATCTCGTGGATAGCCTGAGAAGAATTGAACGAGAATGTGTGAACTATGAACGAAGTGGGTACAAATAGGAAACCCTAGCTCGGTTGTACCCCTTATGGGATACCCCACTATAGCCTACACAAATATGTAAGCTATGATGTTCTGACACACCCCCATAGGCAAAGTGGGGGAGAACAAGGGGTCACAAGACCAGTCAAGCAAAGCAAAGCAAAGCTCAGGGTGGATCACAAAGTCACCACGCATTCCGAGCACAAGCTCAAAGGCCACAAGGCCAGTTCACATGCAAGATCATATATAGAGGTATACAAGAGTCAAACAAGCAAGAACAAGAGTATATATATGCGAAGGTACAAGCAAGGTCAAGAGGAGAGCAAGTGAGGCAAGACAGGCACAAGACCCAACTGCGTGCAGCAACGCTGATGATCACAAGGCGCAAGTGCCTTGGTGAAAACATCAGCAGTGTTGGCCTCAGAGGCCACGTACGCAAGTCGCAGCTGTCCACGCTGCTGTAGCTCACGAGCAAGAAAGTAGCGAAGAGCAATGTGCTTTGTTCTGTGCTCCAGTCGCTGCTCTCGACACAAGGCCAGCATGGCCTTGTTGTCTACGTACAGGACTGGAGGAGAACGAGGCTGCTCTCCAAGGTCGGTCAACAGGTAGGTGAGCCAGCGTAACTCCTGTGCAGCCATAGCCCCAGCGTAGATCTCAGCCTCACAACTGGAGCCGAGAACAGAAGACGAGCGGGTAGCCCGCCACGAGACAGAGCCGGAACCAAGGCTGAAGGTGTAACCCTGTGACGACCGCTGCGTAGCCTGGTCGTCAGCCCAAGAAGCGTCTGCGTGCCCAGTGAGGACCACTGGACTGCGCCCTCCAAGCACTAGCCCCATGCCCGACGTACTGCACAAGTAGCGCAACACCCTCTTCGCTGCAGCCATGTGCTCTGGTCGGTGTCTCCCAGGAGCAACAAAGCGTGCGAGAATGCTAAGAGGGTATGCGAGGTCAGGTCGTGTGCAGGTCATCAGGTACATGAGGCAGCCAACAAGCTCTGCAAACGGACCACTCGACTCTACGGACTCATCCGAAGGCAGAGCTCAGAGCGAGTGGCGAGTAGGCAGAGGAGTGGCCTGAGGCGAGGAGTACGTGAAGCCGAAGCGCTGAAGGACCTGCTGCACCATGTGTGACTGAGTCAGGGTAATGGTGCGGCGTGCTCTGTCCCGGGTGATCTGCAAGCCAAGGTAGCTGCGCAGTTCACCCAGGTCAGTGCACGTGTGTCTCTTCTGCAGCTCGGACTTCACGTGGGCGAGTCCAGCAGTGTCAGCTGTGGCAAAGACCAAGTCGTCGACGTACACGAGGATGTAGAACGGCGGCAGAGAGGTGTCGGTGCGAAGAAACAGCGACGGGTCGGCAGTGGAAGGAGCAAACCCAAGTGCCGCGAGCGTAGTCCTCAGTGTGTCGTGCCACTCACGTGGCGCCTGGCGGAGACCGTAGACTGGACGCCGGAGACTCCACTGGGTACCAGGAGGGAAAGACCCAGTGAAGCCAGGTGGGCGACGCAGCCAGATCTCCTCGTGCAGGCTGCCCTGCAAGAAAGTTGTGCTGAAGTCGAGAGAGTGCAGCTCGTAGTCACGGTGAGCAGCAACGTGCAGCAGAACCCGAAGAGTGGTCATCTTCGGGGTGGGGGAGAAGGTCTGAAAGTAGTCAACCCCCTGCCGCTGACTGAAGCCACGAGCCACGTAACGCGCCTTGAAGACAGGCGGAGAACCCGGCGGCCGCTTCACCCTGAAAATCCACATGCCACTGACGATGTTCGCCCCAGGAGGGGGAACAGCGTCAACGTAGGTGCCTGTGGACTTCCAGGAAGCCATCTCTGCATCCATAGCTGCCTGCCACTGAGAGGAGTAGGGACCCTCTATCGCCTCCGCGTAAGAGCGCGGAGTCGGGATGTCTGGTGCATCCGGGTCTCCCTCAGGGGCTAGCAGTACAGACGCGAGACCAGGTGAAGCGGCGGCCAGACACTGGAACTCCTCCTGCCTGTCCTCAAGGACGTCCGTGCCAAGGGCACACTCACCCCCGACGGACGGAGGACAGGCGGACTCAGACTCAGTGACAAGACGAGCAGCGTAGTCTAGACGACAGCGCGCAGCAAAGTCGACAAGCTCAGTGACAAGGGCAGACGCAGCAGACGACTCGAAGGAGGGGTCAGTGACAGCAGTAGCCAGGAGACGCGTGACAGTAGGACTGGCAGCACGAAGAGAGTCCGACTCCGGGTCGGCAAGAGCAGGAAGAGAGGAAGCAGGAGGAGAAGGCAAAGGGGCACGCAGAGGAGCAGTGGACGGACGCAGTGACATCCGGTGCGTGCCAGGGACAGGAGGAGGACGCTGACGCGACCCGCGACCACTAGCGCGCTCAGTACGAACAGGCGACACAGGACGAGACGCAGGCTCAAGACGCTCAGTAAGACCTCCAGTCGGACCAGCGTAGGGAGAAGGAGCAGGCAAAGGGGAGGCAGGCTGTAGCTGTGGCTGTGACCGGACAGGCTGCGGACCCTCTAAGGGAGGAGGAGGAGGTGTAAGACCAAGAACCTGCTGCAGGAGCGGAACGAAGTACGGTCGGGGCCGCGCGGCGACGCTAGAAACAGCAGGAACAGCACCAGCAGCCCCGGCAGGAGCAGCAACTCCAGCAGCACCTCCAGCAGCACCACCAGAAACTCCAGAACCACCAGCCGCAGCACCAGGAGCACTGTCAGTCGGACCGCCAACGGCAGGCTCAGCGCCAACACCCTCAGCAGGACCAGCTCCAGGAGGACTCTCAGACCCAGCAACTCCAGCACCCACAGTACGAGCACCGGCGGGACGCGCGGTAGCAGTACCCTCCGCAGCCGAAGAACCACCAGCACCAGCAGCACGCCTCCAGCGTCTGGCAAACCACTCACGCAGCTCCTGTGGGGAGAGTGGCTCCCGGCGAGACG